GGATAGTTTGAATTCATGGAGTTTTATTCCGGCAGAAAATTACATAATATAGGGAAGGGGGCCAGGGGTGTTAAAACTTTTGTGGAGTCACTGTAAGTTTAGAATAGGCGGAATGTACTATATTTTAAATTACAAAAGGCGGGAAACTCTAGCGGTGAATCTTATCTATATGTATTAATAAGCATTGTCAAATTTGGTCCAAATCGGCTGCCGTACCTTTCGACGCTAGGCTTTCTTCAACATCGCAGAAGGTTCCAAGGTTGTTTTTGCCTCTTATCTGTCCCTGGAGCTATCTCCATGTGATAAGAAGGAGGGGGTTTTTTCCTCTCTTCTCTAACTTGACTTTCCTTTCTGCACTTCACTTCGGGAACCCCCAATTTGGAATCCTCATACATCTTCAGGATCACTGTCCTACTACCATCGTGTTGGTAACAGAAAAGTATGTCAAGGGTCGAAAGAACAGATGAAGATAACGACGGTGAACCGGTCCATGGCTCACCCAGGATACCGGCTGCAACACCAATCTCCTGCGGTTATGCCCATCTAGAGCGTGAGAATCCGACCGCCGAGTCGGAGATCGGCGGTAGACAGAGGTATGTGACTTCTTTTGACAAAAGTCAGACCGATAGCTCACTACTTCTCACAGATCGTCATCGTACTCGATTCGAGTCCGCCAAGCGGGGGGTCCCAACAGTATAGACAATTTCGCGCGGTCTTGGCAGAGAGCTGCGGCCTTCCCAGAAGTCCTCCCACGGCGGTCGTCGTTTGTCTCTGCGCATTCGGACGATGACTTTGCCGTTGCAACTGGTCAAGAACATGGAACAAGAAGTTTTCCATCATGGGGTCGGAATTCGGATGTGGACCGGCCTCTGCTTCGCAGGGACTCGGATTTGGACCAGGATGATGAAGACTCACGAGCGCTGGAATCTTCCAAGAAGGCACTTCCTAGTACTGGGCTGCTTGCTTCGTCATTTGATAGAACATTTGCGACTTCGTATGGCACTATCTCATCACGAATGAGCGAATCGACGCGGAGGAATGCGATTCAATTCCACCGAGAGCACCATCCCCATGTGCATGTGGATGGGTCTGGAGATTTGGATCGGGGCCCATTGCTTGTCAAGTATGTCCAACATGAAGATGGGACCAAGGAGGATTTCATCGTTGGGCAATCAACTCTTCCCCAGACCATTTTCAACTCTGTCAATGTGTTGATTGGCATCGGCCTGCTGAGTCTTCCATTGGCAATGAAGCATGCTGGGTGGGTGCTGGGATTGTTATTCCTTATCTTCTCGGCGGTCACCACTTCCTACACAGCCAAGATTCTGGCTAAATGTCTGGATGTCGATCAGAGCGTTGTCACTTATGCTGATCTGGCCTACATAAGTTTCGGGCAAAATGCCCGTTTGATAACAAGTTTCTTGTTCTGCTTAGAACTTTTAGGAGCATGCGTGGCGTTGGTTGTGCTCTTTGCAGACAGCCTATATGCCCTGATACCAGGATTTAGCATCCTCCGATGGAAGATCGTCTGTGGTGTTGTGCTAGTTCCGCTCAACTTCCTTCCGCTACGATTCCTGAGTATCACCAGTATATTGGGTATAATTTCATGCACATCAAGTAAGTCTTCCTCTGAGCTTAGGGAGGCAGATGGAACTGACGCTCGAAAGTTGTGGTACTCATTTGCATCGATGGCTTTGTCAAGCCAGATGCACCGGGGTCCTTGCGGCAGCCAGCAAATACGTTCCTCTTTCCTGAAAATTGGGCTACCCTTCCTTTAAGTTTTGGTCTTATTATGTGTGAGTGAACAGCCGGAGCACAATCCCGTTCACAAGGCTAACTTGTTCAAAAGCACCATGGGGTGGTCACGGTGTCTTCCCTAACATCTACAGAGATATGAGGCACCCTCAGAAATACGGGAAGAGTCTCTGGGTGACCTATCTTTTTACAGTAAGAACATCAAGTGACTAGGATAAAGTTTGAATCTAACAAGTTGACAGTTTGCTTTGGACTGCTCAATGGCGATCATTGGTTGGCTCATGTTTGGCGATATCGTTCGCGACGAAATCACGGCGAACATTCTCACCATCACCAGCTACCCACAGTCCTTATCTGTCTGTATTGTAGTCTTCATTTCGATCATCCCGCTCACGAAAGTGCCGTTGAAGTGAGCCCAATGCTCTCATTTGTCCTCGAGCACTGCTAACAAGAACACAGTGCCCGGCCTCTTGTGGCCACATTTGAAGTTCTTTGTGGACTAGGATCCGGCCCTGTGCCCGGAAATGGATCAGAGACAATGCAAAAGTTTTCACGGGCAATGGTCCGCGTTTTTGTGGTGGCCACGATTGTTTTTCTGGCGGTTATCTTCCCGGCTTTCGACCGTATCATGGCTTTCTTGGGATCATTCTTGTGCTTCACGATCTGTATCATCTTCCCTCTTGCATTTTATATCAAGATTTTTGGAAAGGAGATCAGTCGAGGCGAGTACATCCTTGATTGGATTCTGCTCATCATCTCCTCGATATTGGCAGCCGTGGGGACCGTCTGGGCCTTCTTGCCACAAGACATGCTCTCTGCAAACTAGTTTCCGCCTGCAGCATTGTACATGGAGCATTTGCATTTTGTTTTGCTCGCAGAGAATCACTTCTTATTCAGAATGACGGCGAAATTGTTTCGTGTTTTGCCGGATCTCAACTCTTCCTTCTTGAAGTTCTTTGGCGCGTAGGTTCCAGTGTGTTCCCAAAGATGAAATACTAGCTTTGAAGTCCGCTTGCTTTGCGTTAGACAGAAGCCCAGACAAGCCATGATCTCCCCCAGTCTTTCCTCGTTGAGGTAGCGCGAGTTGTCCACGCATGCGATAGGCAATACCAGAAAGAGACTGGGAACGAGTTCAATGGGACATCTCGACGTCAAGAACTTAACACAACGCTTGAGCATTTCACCCCGTCCCGTAGCATCGGCAACATAGTTGAGCACCAATGACAGACTGATCATGTTGAAGCGTTCATCATCGTTAGAGGGCAAAGGTCGTTCCATGAAATCTTGCTTGAGAATACCTGGCTCTTGGGAATTCAAATCGATCCGGGTGACATCCAAGGCTAGGTTCGTAGAGCAGGCGTTTTTGGTGCTCAAGGCTCCAACTTCAAGGACTCGGAGCTTTGGAATGGTGTTATTCCATTGCTTTAGTTGCGGCTTGATCCAGTCGATGAGGACTTTACTGGAATCCCCACCACGGTCCATCGACTGACCTAGCTTACTGGCGATCTGATAGCTTTCGAGACCACCATTAGCTTCGATTTGAGCGTCAATACTGCTGACTCGGGCTTCGTCTCCGGCAGCCAGTGCTTGAGCCCGGACTTTGAGAAGTCGATGATGGGATCGAATCAGAGTGCGGGTAGCTTTAGCTGAAAGAGCAGCGTCCTTGGATTTGACAATGCGAGGCCGACTATGCGACAACAACGTCGGTCTCTTGGATCGTTTTTGGGGAGCCATGTCTTCAATGATCGCGATGAACCGGAAGACTATGATATTTCATTAGGATATCAAGGATATAGTGTTTGTTTAGATGTCCTTTAAGGCCAAATATACAAATGGGTGAGGAGGTCACTGGGCGCGCAAAGAAAAGCCGTTCAAGAAATTGGAAAGAGAGCCAAATACGATGTCCAATCTGATTGGCCAATAAAGTGATAATACCGTACGGCAGTTACTGAAAAATACAACAAGACACTAGACCCAGCGGACCGCGGGTCACCTGACCCACACACAACACTAGGGTTTTCGCTAAGCGAAGACAACTCCAAATCCGTTCGACTTTTGACACTGCGATAATCCATCATCGACAGCGACCGACGACAGCCATGGCCCCCTCCGACAACAAGACCGGTATGTTATGATAACTATGCGCTCTTCTCATTCCGATCGTCGCCTTGCCAATTGTGAATTTGCCGTGTGCACGTGGAGGAAGATGTTCGGATTCAAAAATTTCGATATTTGGAGATCACCTCGCAAAGAGTCGCAGACACCAGGACATTTTGCAGAACACCTCTGCATCGCCATGTGAACATTGATCTCCAATCTGCGCCTCCGTCTCAGAATATTCGACCTACCATATCCAGGCAAATTCACAAATGGCAATTTACGGACGAACTTTTCAGGAAATTTTTTTTTCTCATCTTACCGTTCATTGGGCTAACATAATCATCTCATTAGGCAAGAACAAGGCCAACGCCGCCGCCAAGGCGGTTGCCAAGGGCGCTTCGGTACGTAGCAAAAGATGAAGCAGACCAAAGAAACCCTTTTGGAGCCTATCGCTAACGCGGTTGTGGCAACAGCTTCACAAGTCCCGCAAGGTCCGCACCTCGGCCACCTTCCACCGCCCCAAGACCCTCCAGCTGTCGCGGTCCCCCAAGTACCCCCGTGTGTCTGTCAACCACGGCCCCGCTCTGGACTTCAACAAGATTGTTCTGTACCCCCTGAACACTGAGAGCGCCATGAAGAAGATCGAGGAGAACAACACCCTCGTCTTCATCGTCAACGTCAAGTCCAACAAGCGCCAGATCAAGCAGGCTCTTAAGAAGCTGTACGATGTTGACACCGTCAAGATCAACACTCTTATCCGGTTTGTTTCCTTTTTGGTGAATATAGGTAAATTAAAAGCTAACTTGTGGTTTTTAGCCCTGACGGTACCAAGAAGGCCTTCGCCCGTCTTACCCCCGATGTCGATGCTCTTGACATTGCTGCCACCAAGCTGGCCATTGTCTAAGCGGGGAATGCTTGAAAAGGGATTTCTTAGGGTTTGGCGAACTTGTTTTTCACTACGGTGATGCTAAAATACCAGCCGGGCTGAATGATCAAAAAGAACATAACTTGTGAACGTGAAATACACGATTCCAAAAGAATCGCTGGGCTTGTCGGTCCTGTAATGGCTAAGGCATGTTTCAGACCACGTAGCAGTGCGCCGCATTGTTGTAGATTTCTTTAGTTCATGTTGACCGGAGATGGTGTAAATGGCCAGCTGATCTTGCCAATGCTGTATACCTGCTTTCAGCAAGGGTCAGACGTTTGAAGTTGCCCAATTTTCCACATGGTTTGCTTTTCACAATCTAGACAATGGTTCTCCAAGCTGAACTAGCCTACATTCCAAGGTCGCGTGTTCTCAGCACCCAAGAGATGGTGGCATCCCAGCACAAACAGACTGATGCACATATCTACAAACAACATCCCCATTAAACATCCATTACATGTTGTACAAGACAACATAGTTCATAAATTGGCACTCTAGTATACAAATGATGGTTCCACAATCCGTCTATCCATCCAAAACCCCCCGAAATAAAACCGTCCAACCGCTGTCCAAGAAGCAAAAGTAGAGCGTGACGGGCTCCCAAGCCATATCAGTCTTCTGAGAGAATAACTAAGATCCTTAGATATGCATCACATCCGGACAGCCATCAGAAAACAGCAGTAGCAGAACACAAGACATTTAACGCTTAGTGACCGGGGCCGCCGCGCATGCTGTCCAGCTTGGACAGGATGGACAGACTGGTATCCATCCACCGGTCAACGCAGTTCTGTGCGCATGTCTCCTCGGACTTATCGAGAGTGCCGGAGGTGATCTTGCTGGTAATGCATTTTTCCCAGCACACTTCATTCAGGTGGTGGACGGCTGGGAGGAATTGATATTAGCTATAGATTAACTCCAGGGGATGAGATCATCAAGCGCTAGGACCGGAGTCCGTTTCATATAGAATGTGAAGTATAGATCCCTAGCATGTCCAGATAGAAAGATGAACCACTCACTCTGCTGAATGTTGGACTTCTGAGCCTCATTGGTCAGGACCTGGTTGAGTTCCTTCTTATCACTCTCGGAGAGCTTGGTGAGATCGAGCTGTTGTTCCATAATGGCGGTATATGTGATGCAAGTAGCAATTGAAGCGAGATAGGATAAACGGAAAACGGGATAGCAGCAAGACACTGGACGGTAGCTGGAGGATGTCCGTAAATCAAAGTCAAAGGCGGTGAACAGAGGCACAAAAATGACGCGCAGTTTTCCCTATCGATAGCAACTTGCGTCCATCGTTTCTCATTCAACATCGAGAAAATAAAAGCACCTATTGACACAGCGTCAGATCGAACACGATCGCCTTGATTATCGCATTACCTTTATCTTATTATCCTCATCTGTAATCTGTCACCCGCCATGCCTCCGATTCGCACTTCCCGCAATCGCAAACCGCCTCCCGCTGGCTTCGACGACATCGAAGATACCTTGCTGGAATTCAGCAACAAAATGAAGGATGCGGAGAATGCGTCACACGAAGGAAAGAAGAAATACGAAGTTCTCTGGCCCATATTTCAGATCAGCCATCAACGTACGAATTGCTCCTCTCTGCGGCATTCGAGAACTACGGGTTCACTGACTTTTGCCCCTCTTATTTTAACAGGCTCACGTTACATCTACGAACTTTACTATGAGAAAGAAGCGATCTCGAAGGAATTGTACGACTTCCTGCTTAAGAACAAGTATGCCGATGCGAACTTGATTGCCAAGTGGAAGAAGCAGGGCTATGAGAAGGTAGGTTTGCCTTTGCGGTGACCTTTGCTGAGGACCTGGACTAACTGGTTTCCCTAGTTGTGCTGCCTGCGCTGTGTCCAAACGAAAGAGACGAATTTCAATTCCACGTGTATCTGCCGAGTGCCCAAGGCGCAGCTCAAGGAGAACCAAACTATTCAGTGTGTCAGCTGTGGCTGCAACGGCTGTGGAAGCAGCGACTAAACAAGAGGCCGAGGCTGGTCGGTGACTGGAGGGTTTTGATTTGACTGGGGACCCCGGGAGGTAGGGGTGGATTGTGGTTGTCAACCACATGCATCCATTGGACAGGGCGTTTCGGTACTATGCATTTCTGTTTCTGTTTCTTTTTTGTTACTCCGTCCGATCCATTCATCGGGTCAATCAGATACCCTTCGAAGCTTGAATGGCACATGGATCAGTTTGATAAGCAGACAATAATGACTTTCAATTGCTAACTACATACATTATATCAAAGTAACGCTTTCGAATGTGTCCCAGTAGTTTCCCATAAAGATAGCCCCAACCCCGATATCCAAATCATAAAAAAAAACCATCGCTTGCATGTACATCTTAGCATCGTCATTAATATCGTAACCAGGCCATCCTGGGCTCAGTGGAGGAAATGTCAGAGCCGGCTCCATCGGCGCGGCCCAAAAATCCTCAAAAGAAAAACACCGCCCACAAGATCTTGGAAACATCGCCGAGAACCAACTCCAGAATTCAACCCAAAACTCAAGAAACAAAGGTTGCAGGGCCAGAAAAGCAGGAGGACAATAAGGGGTAAGAAGGGAGAATAATCAAATCGAACAAGGTGGGTCTCCCAGAGATCACCACCTACAAACCAAAAAAAAGCAAATCATTAGCTGGGAACATCTCAAAACAAGGTCGCATTGGGGCGGTGGCCTATTTGTGGTCGATGAAGCGCCCTGGGCTTCAAGGTGTCATCCTTGCTTATGCCTCCGATCTTTTGGAAACCCTGCAGAAGATCAACTCCGTCGACTTCGCCTGGGCTGTCATTGCCCTCATCGAAAAGATGGAACGAGAAGAAGTCTTCCTGGCCAGCATCTCCAAATCGGGTTGTGTCGGGGAGCTTAGATGGTGACTCGGGGAAGATTGAGGACCTGGAGCGGGACATCGAGGGCATGCCCAGTCTGCTATTGATGTTCACCGAAGTGATGTCCGAAAGTACGGTATTCCCACTGTCGTTTCGGGGACGTTTGATGGAGCGTTTCTCCGGAGATCCGTACGATAACTGTGCTGATCCAGGATCCGCGAAAACATCAAAGGAGGTGTGGAAATGATCGTGAGGGGTGTATGACTCGTCCTGAAGATTGAAAGCCGGACTCCAAGGGAGAGCATCTTCAGAAAGACCCAAATGCTTGATGGGTGAGTTGACCATCTGCTGTATCTTTCGGCGATGATTTCGCAGGTTGGTGTTTGGAGACACAGATGGTGGTGGTCTGACCGGCTTCTTAAACTTGATGATGGGCGTTAACGGAGGCGGCTGCATGCTCACATACTGGCTACGGAGAGGCGATGAACCAATAGGTGGGTTGGGGTTTTTGCGAGCTGCAGGCTGGCCAGGGCTGACATCGTGAGAAGAGCTGCGCATGCGCGCGATCTCTTCTTCAGCACGGCCGCGCTTGATGCGCGGAGGCTCGATATCTAGATCAGATGTCAAAATGTGCCCAGCCTTGTTAGGTCTTAGAGCCGATGACTCCAAAGACGAGAAATAACCGCTGTCATTCATGGTAATCGACTTTCGCTTGCGCGGGCGAGGTGCAGGGGTAGGGCCAGAGTGAGTGGGGGTTGGAGGGGTACCCTGGCGGGCGAATCGGGGAGGAGCGATGGGAGGAGATGACCGAATGGCCTGCGGTGGCGAGGAACGAGGCGCTGCGCGTGGTGCAGGAACTGGAATCACTTCGTCCGCATCATCTTGAAGAGCAGGATCCGACGCAGGTAACGTGGCGTCCGAAGACAAGTCATTTGGGGCTGGCCTGGGGGCAGATGCATGGTGAGGTGGCGCATGATAAGCATGCTGCGGCGGTACCATCCAGGTCGTGGTGCTTGCAGTTTGCGACTGTTGCATGAGATCTCTCTGAGGAGCGGCGGGGAGAGGAAGACTCGACATGGTGGCGCGGCGCACTTGTTTGTCTTTGAGGAATTGCGCTTCCATCCCGGGCTCGATGGCCCAGTAGTTGCCCTTGCCAGGATCATCCTTAGGTCGCTCTTGCTTGATAAATGCCTTGTTAAGACTGAGGTTATGTCGGATGCTGTTTTGCCAACCGGGGTCGCTGTTCTTGTAGTATGAGAAGGTATCGGAGATCCACTTGTAAATTTGCGCTAGCGTCAAGCGCCGGTTATTAGCGCGCAAAATTGACATCCCGATCAACGTAGCGTAACTGTACGGAGGCTTGGTGCCATCATCTTCCACCGGTGGCATATCGTGCGGTTCAGGTAGATAAGTAGTTGGCGCGTCGTCACGCTTTTGTTTCTTATTAGATCGCTCCTTGAGAGGCGCAGCCTCCATCAGTGTACGCTTCATTGGAAGTTTGGATTCATAGGACGGTTCTGGGAAGTCCGCGAAACTGTCATTGGATAGCTCTTCGGAGAGATGGTTTTCTCTTGATGATTCGAGGTTCACGCTGGAGAATGTGGTGAAGAGAGCAGAATGTGGCATAGAGGTAGTAGAGTAGATGGGGAACGGCGGTTTCTTGGCTGGGGAGTCGGTGGCAAACATGGGAGGAGGAGGAGCAGATATGGGGATGAAACCGAGCTTTCCGTGTCGCAAATGGGAGCCCTGAGGGTGAAGACCTTTGGTTGGCGATTGCCTGTGCGGGCCCGAAGACGGATGGCGAGTTGAGTTGTGAATGGGCTGAAGTGGTAGCGGTGAGGGTTGCAGACGGGGCCTCGATCTGATGATCTCCTGGGCTGATGGGGCTAGCACTGAAGAATAGTGTGCGCCCGTAGAACGCGTCGATCCCATCACCTAAACGACGGGGAATCAAGTTGCAATATCACCAGTCACCAGGAGGACCATATGACGCGTAAACAGACTTAGAGATGAGCGCGACTGTTCAAAAACAAGGCCTCCGGCCGCGTTGCGATAACGAGCGAGCCGTGTCTAGGTGTGACGAGACTGCGCAGAGAATTCCGGTTGGACCAATAGTATTCCGCAGATCGAGAAGCAAAACCAACAACCTCAGGCCGTCATGCAGCTTAAACAAGTTGGGCCACAAGGCGCTAAGGCGTCACACTTCCGAGACGCGAATCAAGCCGCACAGATAACAGATGGGGATGAGATTTGCGATTTGGGAACAACAAATAACCAAAATATAGTACGGACTGTTGAAGCCGACAAATGATGGAGGTTAGAGGTTAGAGAGAAAAAAAAAAAGAAAGAAAGAAAGAGGATACAGAGAGTACAAGAAAGGATAGAGAGAAGACTCTTGATGTAAACCGGGTTTTGGAAGAAAAAGACGGGAAATGGGGCACTGTGCCAAAGGCAGAGAGGATATCAGGATATCAGACCCTTTGAGAATTTTTTTTTTCACTTTCCACTGTAACTCTTGGAAGATACTAAATCATTATTATAGAATTCTAGACAGGTTCAATTTTTTTTTTTCAGAGCAGAAGAAAGGCGGGGGGAGGAGAGAGAGGGAGATCGAAGATGGAGTGAGATAGTGCGATAATACCTGTCACGTATGGTCATCTTGGAGACGCGTCGCGCGTTTTATTATGGAAGATGGGCAATTATCGGGGTGGTATTATTGGTAACATCAATTCATATCTGACCAAAGGGGGTCCCCTCCCTTGCTCACATTTTCTAGTGTCGATCTGATCCACCGAGGATGAACGGAGTATGTCAGGTCTACATTATTGCCTTCTACTATCGAGCATATATTGTGGCTCTAGAGAAGTATATTGGAAGGAGACATATCTATCTTTAGGTCTGGGTCTACTGAGTACACTACGGTGCATACAGAAGATATCATACAATCTGGTCCTGCAAGTATGACACGACTCCATCAAGACCGAGACATCAGATACCGGGTATTCTTAAACCCAGCATTGGCACTCCAATTGGCCCGGTTCTCCCGGTATGTGGACACGTCGATGTAACTTTGAGACGTTTGCTGCTTTCTCGCCCCTTGTTTTTATCTGCTGTCATGGAGGATCTCCAACGCCCTTGACTAGTGGCCAATTGCTCCCGGGTGCATCGAGGGCCAATCGATTTTACAGGCCTACATTGTACAACGCATGTGCTGCCCACTTGCGTGCAGGTGCCGGGACCTCATAATCAGGACTCCGTTCAGAGTATGGAGTAGCATAGAGCAAAGAATTGGAACTAGAACGGGGGGATCCATTGTTCAAATCTAGGGGAGATCTCTAGTGTCTTTTCCTCTGCATGCCCTTGCTTGCACATCAAACTCCTGGTAGCAGATCCATGTACTTATGCCGTTCCTAGGTTGTTGGATGTACCATTCTCCCCTCCACCGAGGCTTTTCCTTTCTAGTTGTTTTCATCAGAGCACTCAGAGTCGCAGTACTCCGTACTCCGTATGGAGATGTTTCTTTACCAAGATGGCAACACCGGTCCACGCTCACATGAGAGGATTCAGCAACACAACGGCCATCGCCTAGAATCAAATAGTTCCTGTACACTCTGTGACAAAAATCCAGGGACCACTATCGGGGAAGAGGAAGGTAGTGGGCAACGAAGGAGATTTGAGCTGAGGAGTCCAATGCCACAAGGCTTCGCAGAAGATGGTCCGTTCACCACCCGCAATCGTTAGAATTCCGAGAGTGCATCTGCGGAGGATTTTACTTATACCATACAGGGAAAGTATTGTCAGTGTACAACATAGATGTAAGAAATCCAGAGTACTCTCAGTCCTTTCTAGGGAGCGCAAAAGGAGCCAGGGATGAGCACTACCAACAAACCAAGAAGTGAAAGAAGAATCTGATAGAGAATCTGATGTATATGAAACAGTAGTAGTGATTCAAATTCCAAAACACCTTGAGGAAAGCAACCCTCATGAAACAAACGCTTCATGACTTCTATTCTAAAATTGAAACCAGGAGACAACGCCAAGCCCATGCATCACAAAAAAGAAAGTCTATGCTTTGTTTTTCCCAACCAAAGTCATGAACCCCTGTCTTTCAGGGGCTTCGACTTCCGGTGGATGCACACCTTTTTTTTCAACCAAACCCAAGGGATATCTTAAACAACAATGAATTTTTGCTCGATGCGCAAATGGGGACGTTTAGTCCAAGAAGGTGAACATGCTCGTATGGATGATATTCAGGGCACGGTCGGCGTCTCGTTCTTCAATAACGCAAGAGATATTGATTTCACTTGCACCTGTGAGGGGGAAAAGAAAGATCCAGTTAGTACCAGTTAAGGATTTGAAGGTAGGGGGAGGGGAAGGGGGGGGGAGAGGAGTGGGGATCAGCAATTATTTCCTCACCTTGAGAGATCATCTCGATATTCACGCTGTTCTCGCCGAGAGTGGTGAACATACGCCCTGCAACCCCGATCATGTTTTTCATTTGCTTGCCCACCAGACTGAGAATGGCCATCTCAGGGATGATGTCCACAGTTCCGTACTTCCCCAGGTCATTTAATGCGCCCTGGAGATCATCGTCAATGACCTGATACTCATCCCGTCCGTTTCCATTCAGAAGGGGCATCTCTGAGTGAAGGGCCAAGGACACGTGGACCTCGCTGGTCGAGATCAAATCAATGGATAGGCGCCACTTGTCCAATACGGAGAAAATACCGGCAAAGAAACCATGGGAGAGCGACCGCTTGTTGGAATGCACATTGATCACCAGGATGTTGTGCTTGATGGTGACTGCGGTCGGGCGTTTCGATGTATTCGCAAGACTGGGACTCCGAGTCCGGAACAGGCGTGGGTCATGTCCTGGTGTAGTTCTCTCCAGTTCGGCCACCGAGTCAGGGAAGATAATAGTGCCTTCGTTCTTAGGGTTCATGACGTTCTTAATGCGAATAGGAATCCTTGCGCGAATGACTTGCTCCATGGTGAACGGATGAATGACTTCGGATCCATAGAAGGTCAATTCAGCGGCTTCAGCAGGGGTGATGGCCGGGAGCAGATGAGCCGTTGGCACTTTACGCGGGTCCGCGGTAAATATACCATCCACCTCCTTCCACACCTGCAGCTCCGCCGCGCGGGTTCCAACTGCCACAAGGGCGGCACAGAGATCGGTATATCCACGACCAATCTGATCGAGCAGACCACCGGGGATGGTACCAAAGTACCCAGTCACAACAGGTACTCGGTGTCCGCAGGCCTCAACTTGGCTGCCGAAAGCCGCTGCCAGGGCATTATAAAAGTCCTGGTCCAACCCGTGGGGCCCAATGGGGAAATCAATAATTTCAGAAAGATCCACATACTGCGAATCAACCCCGCGGTCTTGCAGTAGAGCGGCCATCAGCAGACAGCTCAGCTTCTCACCGGCGCTCATCACCTTATCCACACAGCGCGCACTAATCTCTCCCAGGGTCTGAGCGGCCTCAAGGAACCTGAGTACTCGTTCGCATTCGCCGGTGATGTCCGCAATCACTTGATCTCTTATTTCGGCCGACTGCAATTCTTCCTGGGCGACTTGAACATGCTCCAAACGAACAGCCTCCACCAATGTCAGATATTGCTGCGAACGAGGATGTTCAGCATCCCGCGCTGCCCGCAGCAGCCTACCCCGAAAGAATTGGTATTAGAACCTCAATCGTGATATAGATGAAGAGCATCACGATGACTCACCGGTTGGTTGTGCCTTCAGCTTTTGTAGAGCTGCTTCTCGCAGAGCATACGACGGCGACTCTGTTTTTTAAGAGGCTGGGTCTGTAAGATTGTCAGTCTCCATCATGTCGAAATCGAGAAAATGCGTCATACTGGACGACCTGCTCAATGATATTGCGCGCGAACTTGCCCACGCTAGTACCACCAAACTTCTGCACGACCCAATTTCTGTGTGCCTGCGCGGTCACTGGCAAATTTGAATCGAAGGTAGTAGTGGCCATAATGTCAAGCCAAGAATGAGTATAGACAGTGTACAATGCAATACAAGGGAGTCAGAAGTGGTTTTGGAGGGGGGAACCGGCGAAAGCGGAGACCTTTGGGGCCACATCGGGTTGCATAATTTTTTTTAAGTGACTCAAATTGGCAATAGAGTTATGGGAGTAAAGACCGCTTTCCTGTTCTGGTCAGGAACGAACGATGTCGGAGGTCCCACCAATCACGCAATTGTCATGTGAAGGGCCCCACATTGCCTCATTCGGCCTCATCGGGGTGAATGTTGTTCCGGAGTGTAAATGGCAGGTGCCCAAGTGGCATCCTGTATCTGTATTGCATCCTATTGTTGATTCACAATATTGATTTATTCGGTTTGCTGATCATGATGCCAGGAAGTCACCTTGCCTCAAAGACATTATGTCAAGTTCATTGGAGGACTGTTAACGACAGTGGCACCATACATTTCGATTTCGAGCTGTGGATGATTGACTTCTCTAACCCCACATGGACACTGAGTCCCAAGCCATGTCCTGGACCTACAACGTCGGATGCCACAGAGTTAGCCCCTCTACTAACAGCATATCAGGGCTCCTTGATTTTGACCTCGCCATCGAAACAAAGCTCACCTAGCATTTGCGGCCACGGGCCTCCGATTAGGATTCACGAGAGCCATATACCGACTCTTGAAAGTGCGAAGTGAAACATGCATCCTTCTTGACCGTATCGCTTTCACTATCCGCCCAGGCCTTGATCCACATTTGTCCTTCGTGGCACGTTAGGTTGGATGATAATGATATGATAATGGCTAGGCTCTGACAAACAGAATTAGCCCGCCCAGATGCCGAATCAACGCTCTATAGCCGCCTCTGGATAAGCTGAAGCAGCAGTATTCTATTCCATATACCTCTGCGTATAATTACCTCTTACATGTTCTACCATGTATACTCCTGGCCTGATTCTCTTTTCCCTGGTCATCGGGGTGGGCGTGACACGTGAGCATGCCATGCAGTGTTTAGCTTCATTTAGCTCTCGATCGTCCTCAGGGCCATCTTGAGTCAGAGAACAGGGATCATGTTCATGAATCAGGAGCACTCCGCATTCTTGAACATATCATAGGGGTAAAATTGAAATGCAAACGTCAACTCAAAAAGTTCAACGCAGCTTTTCAGCCTTGAACTGTAACCGAAAAAAAAACCGCATCAACTATTCGAGGAATTTTCATACTTGCTATATATCCCCTTCTACTGAATTTATGACAAGCCCTAACACCGTCGAGAGACGAGTTACTACCGCAACATAAACGCCTACGTTGTTTCGGCCCCTACGAAGTAAAATGTACTTAGTCCTTCTGTTCGCTGATCTTAAGGAGGAGATGGTGACAGCACTTTCTTATTGCCATGTCGGGGAGACGATTACCAAGACACTACCGCTAGGAATTTTACAACCGGAAAGGGATAGACTCCCCTGCCTGATATCCTTAGGTTTTACTTTCAAAGATCTTGACACACTTTGTCAATGTGGGAGGACTGTCCTTTCTGGCCCCAATGGCAGTGTGGCAGCGCTCAGCCCCAAAAGGTTCCTTTAAAAGCAACAGCTCTATGCAGAGGAACCAATGAGCAAGTCGCAGCCACGATCAATTTTCAGCTCAGGTCATTGGTATCCAAATTATTCTAGAGTGCCCAAGAAGGAGGTGCAATAAATAACGACCGAACCCAATCCTATTCGCAGATGGAAAAAAGGTATTATAACCTATTAACGGATGATTGGTGGAGACCTTCCCTTGAATATAATCCTCGCTGTCATCACTGCTAGTCTGGCATATTCAGAGGATAGTGGGCAGATTTTCTCCTTTGCTTCACTCTACATGGGGAAGTGCTCGACTTCTAAGAATTGACAATGGGCTTACACTTCCTGATCAATATCCTTAGCACCGCCCTTCTAGGAGCGAGCAACTGCTGCAAACAACGCTTCACGGAAAAAATTGGATGCGATTGGCGATGTCAGCACTCACTCCAAGCAAAAATCTGTTGACGTCTTTGCTCAATACTACACATCCGGTACGGAATAATATTCCTAGTGGCCAAAGACTCGATACCCTAAAACGATATTTTCCTTACTACCGGAGACATGATTGCATTCTTTCCTCACCAAACCGGACCTAGTTACCGAGGAAGTCTGTGTGCTATCCGGGTTTCTAATCAAGAAAAGAATACAAGGATGGCAGAAATGCAAGGATCGTGATAGTCAATTTTTGGATCTTCTGGAAAGCATTCAATCGGTTTGGAGCACTTTAAAGAAGCTACCTAGATGTGCTCGTAACTTGCGGCCATTCGCCCGTAGCCAACATGTTTAGAATAATCATTGGAGGCTTGCTGCCCATCGTCGTCGTACTTCTGGGCTTGCGTCGCTTCAGATCACACACATCGTTTGCTGGACAGTGTATTGCGGCAATCATGACTATGGTAGTCGCCCATGCACTGAAACCGGTGCAATATGGCAAAGTTCTAGAGAGAGTCTAATCGCATGGCATTTGTCTAAAACACCATTACGACGGATGTTGACGCTCGACCTGTGTTGGAAGTGATGACCAACGACTATCTTTGGCTATGGAACAGGATTTAAATGATTCAAGGGCGATTGGCTTCTTGCATTGCTTATTTACCTCAGAAGATGTCACCTAGGCAGTGAGCCGAGTTCATCACGTCTCTATCTCTAGTCAAAGTCAGGTGGGAATGGTGGCAAATCAGTAAATCCAGCAGATTTACCATACAACTGTTGGATAAATGATTAGATGCTTCTTAATGCTTGGAAATAAGAGGATATGTTGTATGGTGTGAGTTGTCCAGGTGCCTGCGTTAGGACACCAAACTCCGCCGTGGGTGGGTCTCGAGAAACAAGCACTGTTCAGCTCGTTTAGGCATCAAATTAAATCCTTTGTCTATACTTCTGATTCTACCTCTGTTGTTCGCTCAAATTCAGCTTTCTTTTTATCTGCATCTTTACATACATACATTCTTTGCTCCTCTCGCAAGCGGTGTCTGCCAAGCATCAATCTAGCAACTTCCCCTCTAGCGTCAGCACTGGATGAAAACTCCTTAATGGCCGATAGTAACGCCGCCTCATGCCCTTTCTGTCCTTTTACAGACTCCGACGCTAATTTTGTGTCCCAACATATTGAGTTCTGCCACCCAGAAACTGGGGTAACGGGTTTTCTGCAGGAAACCCCGCAAGAGTTCGCAACCCAAATCTCGGCTTCACTACCAGAGGACGAGGAGGGCGCAGACAAATATGTCAACTGTCCACATGAATGTGGTGAGATGATAAAAATTGCCGAGCTCTCAAGTCACCTGGATCTGCATGCTGCAGAGGCCATGGCCCTGGATGATTTCGGGGCCACTTCGGCACGCTCAACTGCAGACGTACATGACCATGGGTATGACGGACTCTTTGACGAGGATTCCCTCGACATACTCGACTCTCACAAGGGAGGCAAGCGTGGGATGCAACGAGACTCCTCGCGAGTAAACACTGCGAAGCCACCGCGGCCTCACAGTCCGCTAAGGACGACCAATGCCGATGGGATTAAGAGATTAGGGGTATATGTCTTATATTTGCATTCTTAGAGATACATACTAACAATAATCCAGCGCTCTGAATTGGGCCCCCATGCCCATGAGAAGAAAATGCCATCATGGCTAAAGAAAATGCTGGAAAAGGGCGGGAGCATCTCAAAACAAACCCAAATCACATCGGATGGGAAATTCACACGGCGCGAGACTGTAGAAAATGAGACGGATCATCTGATTCCTGTTCTTACTCGGCTGTGTGAACAGGACAAATCCGTCCAACGGGCATTCTTCTGTAGCCCCAAAGTCCGCCATATCTGCAAGATGCGCCGGGAAGGCGGGTTTTGTGGCTATCGCAATATTCAGATGATGGTTTCTTGGCTGAAAAAGTCCCGTGGCTTTGGCCATGAGCACTTCCCAAATAAGGGGCCGACGATCCTCGAGCTACAAGATATGATTGAATCGGCCTGGGATATGGGGTTCAATAGTTCTGGAAGAGCTGAGACAGGTGGTATCAAAGATACGCGCAAATTTATTGGAACACCTGAAGTAATTATTTTGATCGGCACTGATTATTTACTATACGCTAACACCTGCCCAGGCACAAGCACTTTTCATGAGCCTAGGGATCCCGTAAGTTGTCCAGCCTGCTTCATTTCAGCCCCGCTGACCCCGGTTCCCAGATGTGAAGCCAGAAGTCTCTCAGAGAGTAGCGACCTACGGGCTTGTGATGCTCTTTACATTGATGTCGCCGACTATTTTCGATCAGCGTGCTCACCAGAAGACGAGACGAAGATCGTTCAGACTGATCTCCCGCCGATATACTTCCAGCACCAAGGTACAGCCCCGTAGCTCTTTCAGCAAATATATGTCTCTTTCTAACTTAAGCCAGGTCATTCTATGACAATCATCGGGTTTGAAATACGAGACAACGGCAGCGCAAATCTGCTGGTATTCGATCCCATGTTCAAGACTTCCCCTGCAATGGAGCGTCTGATCGGAGCGTTTGTCAAGCCTTCGGATCCCACTCGTCTTCTCAAAGCATATCGCAGAGGAACGCCTTACCTGCAAAAGTACAAGATTTTTGAGCTTCTCAAGTGAGTGATGATCCAATTTGCATCAAACTTGTGCTAATCAGTACTAGGCTATCTATAACCAGCCCGAAACATGAAGCAAAATAGAATCAAGCTGGTTCATTCAATTCTGCATATTCTTTGCATCATGATCATTTATCAAAAAAAAAACAAAAAAACAAAACCAAGCGAAGTTGATATAAATGTCTTTTATACATTCCCAATGCGGCAACTTACCCCTCCACGATAAGATAGCCGGGACGAAAATTAGTCCGATGGAATTATTTCGTCTGGGGAAACTATTTTCAGTCTACAATTCACAATTCCACTTTAAAGAATCCACCCTTTTAAGAAAAACATGCGCACCTCTCCAAATGTGATCATCACCGGCACCCCCGGCGTGGGGAAGACTGTCCACTGCGAGCAACTCGCGCAAGAGATCGGCTTGAAGCACTTGTCCATTAACCAGGTCGCAAAGGACCGTGGATGCTTCGATGAATATGACGAGGAATTGAAGACATGGGTGGTCGATGAGGATAAGGTGAGAACATTTCACACAGCGCTTCTCTTTTCGCCATGTTTAAAGACTCAAAAGTTCACATGCTAAATCACACGCGACACAGCTCCTCGATGCCCTTGAAGACGAAATTCCTAAGGGTGGCTACTTAATCGACTGGCACGCCTGCGACCTTTTTCCCAAGTCCTGGATCGACCTCGTCGTTGTCCTCCGTTGCCCCACAACAAATATTCTATATGATCGCCTTTCTTCGCGGTATGACAATCGACTACGTAAATATATCTACGGCTTCAAACTAACATCCATACTTCAAGGGGCTACCACGAGAAAAAGCTAGAAGAGAACGTTGACGCAGAAATCTTTGGCGTCCTGTCGGACGAAGCGCGAGAGGCATTCGACGAAGAGATCGTGGTAGAGCTGAACAGCGAACAGGACGCAGATGTGGACTCGAACTGCCAGCGGATCGCGCAATGGGTCGATTCGTGGAAGAAATCACACGCCGAAAATGCGGATTGAGGGAATTTGTTGGGCCATTAACAATTTTTTTGGATCTTCGTTTCTCATTCTTCTATGGTCTTTTGCGGGCCGAGTTATATACCCATGGCGATTTACTGTTGGCCTTCGGCTAGCCACTGCTGCAACTTCACCAGTGCCTTATACCGGTGCGATATCTTGTTCTGTTCGCGGGACTCTTAGCACATGGCTTTTTTAGGGAGAGACAAAATCGTTGTTACCTTTTCCTCCTTGTCCATCTCGGCATATGTCTCCTTGCCATCATATTCGAAGATAGCATCCCAGCCTGCCATATATCAGATCTTGGTTCTCTGCACAACTCAGTTAGAGGTTCACTTACCGAACTTTCCTGGGCCTCTGGGCCGCACAATGGCACCCTGTATATCACAATTAGATTTACACAATGTTGAAATAACTGTATTTGCCTCACCTCAGTTCTCCCCTGGAAAATTATTGGCTCTTCACCAGGGCCCCGACAAAAGGCAAAGGTGCACACAGCTTCGGCAGTCCGATCCTCGAAGCCATCGAGCATCTTGTTCAAGCCCTCGTGGCCCAAATTCTCCATGAATGATTTGCTTGGTAATCATCAGTACAATTCTCAGAGAGTAAGCCTTTAACATGGCAAAGACATACATGTATGGCCCAGGGAGACCCTTAAGCGCATGGAACTCAAGCGCAGTGTCTTCGGTCAAGGCAGGTCCATTGATCTATTCCCTCGTAAGCTGATGGGATATTTAATAGAGAGAGCCCAGAAAGAATTTACTGCTTCGGCGGCACGTCTGGCCTTCTCTTTGGCGATTTCTTCGATTGTGCCTTGGATCTCGGGGACATCGACCTCCTGGTTGTCCACTTCGATGGCATTACCGAGGATAGCCCGCACCTCAAGGAGTTTGTTTTTGTTGCCGGTGATGAAGTTGAGCTTGGTGAGAGTCATTTTCGGCTGTGCAGATAGGGACTGGTTGGTATGGGTTGGATGTGAAGTTGAAGATTTAGAGTGTGGGAACCCCACTGCGATACCGCTGACCGCACATATCGACCTCAAGTGTTGGGATTTCATGCAAAACAGCTAGAAGAAACATTCTCACATACCCCAGACCTACTCGTATCTTGTATGTCAGTGTTGGAAAATTATTCCTTCGTTTCAAAATTTCTCCAGTTGTAGCGACATGTACACCGTGCTGTCCCAACGACAGATTCGTCGTTTGGAACGAATCTCTTACAATCCAACAAATCGAGACGAAAAAGAGAACGAGTGACACTTCAGTCTCCTCCAGGGATTTTGAAATATCAGGTGATGCCCCTCCCTACGAGATTGAAATACTCAAGAAAGGTTCTTGCAGCATTTACGTGTGATGAAAGTACTGAAAGAGTGCTACTGTAGTCCGGTTGTCACACAGCCTGGCGCTGTGATATTTCCGGAAGAGAGATTCGAGAACAACCTGGAAGAGAGCATGGACAGTGAGCCTGCGATGTGACCAAGTGATTGAATACTTCGGACGTTGGATTGTTTATGTTAGAAGAAAAACTCATTTACAAGAACTCTCTTAGCAATCTCTGATCTATAGGCCAAGACATCATATGCAAATGGAACAAATGAAAATCATGCGTATCACTGTATCGCAAAGGCCGTGGATAATCCAGGCAAGTCGTAATCCGTAGCTCACAGGAAATCCCAAAGTCTAATATACAACAGTACAGATCTATTCAATCATCCCGTGGTCCCATTCGAGCTTCTCTTGCTGCGCCATCGCTTGCGCGGACACAATCTCGGCAAGTCGTTTCAACCGCGGCGTTTGGAGCCAGGATGGGGTATAGGTCTCCAGAGCAGTGATAACACGCGGCTCGGCGATTTCGTACGGGCCACTGTCCTCCATGTCTACCGGAGCCAGGAGAAGCACATCACTCTTCTCTGTGACGCGAGAAGCGACGGCCTTCATGATCTCGCCGTTAATGGGCTGTTCGTAATCTGCCACCAGGTACTGATTCAGCAGTTTTTGAATTTGGTTTGGAGACAGCCTGCACACAGTTAGATACGTGAACTCGTGGGAGAAGACACTTCAAGGGTTCACTTACATCCAGCAAATATCTTGGATGATCTCAATATCATTCAGAGTAGCCTTCTTCAGCTGCAGAAGCTTGGTCGCTTGCTGTATAGGTGTTAGTATGATGACCAAATGAGTATTAGACAAGGAATCTTACCATTAAATGCTCGAGCTTCAACGTCCCCTCTGGCATGTCATGACTCTTGCACCACTCCTCAATGCGCGTAATGTTATAGTTGATTTGCAGACCACGCTTCCACGACAGGAAGTTACGTCGCATGAGAAGATCGTTGAAAGCAGTGACACCAACTAGGCGCAAGAGCTCAGTAACGGTCTGGAGGATGATGGCGTCCTCAAGATAGAATGCCTTCATTGCTTTGTAAACACCGTTCAATAGACTAAGAAGGTTGTCCATGCTGTAAGCGGGGTTATTGTTGGAGGGTAGAAGCTTTCCAAGGAAGCGGTTTGTTTCACTGGTGACAAAGCCAGGAAGTGACTGAGACTCGATGATGGCTGGAACAATCATCTTGTACAACTTCTTCTTTAAGACCTTCATCCAAGTGTGATAGATGTTGAATTCCAAGCTCTCGAGGTCATGCTTGACGATTTCCAACAGGCGATCGTACTCATAGTTTTCGGTCTTCTGTGCTTCATACCAATCCTCGGCCAGGAAGACAAAGGATAGCATCTCGTGCACGTTAGATAACCAGAAGGCACCGGGATTGATCGCATCGTCTCCATCATGCTGCATAACTTCCTGCTGAATGGACTGCATAACGTTGGCCAAGAATCGCTCCGACTCCTTAACAAATCCGTTGTTCCACATCTCTGACGTAACAAGGTTGATCAGGTATGCTGGGAACAGGACCTCCTTTTCGGTCGGTGGTGGTGTCGAAGTTGGGAGCGGAATCTTCAAGTTGCGGATAAGACCCATGGTGACCTCCTCGTTCAAGTCCTCCTCTTCAGAAAGCAAGTTCTCGAGCTCCACCTCGACCGACTCTAGACCAGGAGAGATAGCCGCATTGTGACGGGCAACCATAGATGCAGAGGTGACCGCCATCGAAACGGGCCGAGGGTTGTATGCACCACTGAAGCGATCTGTGTCAATCCTTTCAGCACCGACACTGCGTCTCTTGGGCTTAGGTTTCTTTGAAGAAACCAAATTGATCAAGCCCGGGCTAGGGGTCTGGAATAAGCCACCATTTAGACCATCGCCGTTCATACCGTTCAAAGGCACAGATCTCTTGGCAATCTCGAGCTGTTCCTCAAGATCGGAAATCCGCTGCCGGAGACCAGTCTTATCTTTCTCATGCTCGACATCCAAGAGCTTCAGACGCTCCAACTCGTCGTTGGCGGTTTGAAGAGCCTCACGGGATATTCTCTCCTCTTCCTGGAGGCGCTTGATGGTAGCTTGGGCTTCAGTGTGGCTCTGCTGAAGCTTACTCATCTCTACTTCAATTGCCTCTAACCGGGCTGCGGTGATACCAGCCTGGTTGGCTTCAACCTGGAGTTCCTTCGTGCGAGCCTCCAAGGCATTGTGTCGGGTTCTCCATGACTTCAATTGGGTATCGTAGTTGTCCAGCTGTGAGACCAAGGTTTTATTTTCAAGCTTGAGAGTTTGCAAGTACTGGGTCAACTCAACAACCTTGTTCTCCAACTTGTAGGAGATCTGCTTGAGATCACGAGCATCTTCGCGAAGTCTCTTATAAGCATTTCTTGCCTGTTTGCCGCGCCAGAGGTTTTGGATGGTGATAACCTTGCGGCGATACTGTCTCCAGGCTCGGAGTTGACGCCAGGTGCGGAAAGCACGTTGAATGACCTTGGCCGCATTTCCATTGATAGAGTCCATGATATTGCGTCGGCACAGGAATCCCTTGGCAACAGACTCGAACAGAATGAAGTTTTTGCGGATTTGAGTGTAACGCTTCTTTTCCTTCTGGCCACGCCAGACCCGCTGGATCGTAGTAGCAGCCTTGACCCGGCGGATCTCGTGGGCTTGCTGCCGTGCCAAGAAGCCCCGGATGAAAGCCTGGGTGGTGAGAATTGAGTCACGAGCATCGAGGTAGCGGCGGCGGTAATACTTAGCACGCAAGTTCTTCTGGATCATGATAGCGCATTCATTCAACTTGGAAGTTCGGAGATTCTCCAGGAATGCAAGCATACCAGCTCGGAAGAAGATTTTACTAAGACCAAGCTGATACTTATCTTGCTTTTCATCTCCTAGGGCCTTCCGGAGGATTGCATGGCACATATCCCGAATCTCTGAGGTCCATTGCGAGGAATGGCACAGCATGTAGTAGCGAACAGCGAATTCCTCGTAAGTCCATCGGGTTGGGTAGCCAGCGGTACTGATTCGGACAGTTTCCAGGACACCACAAGCTCTCAGCTGACTGAGGACCATAGGTCCTTCGAATTTCCAAGATTCCTTAGCCTCGTTGGGCTTGATGCAACGGATGTAATGAACATCCGTGCTGTTGATGGTGTTCATCAATTCAATCAGCGAAGACTTGAAGATTCCACCAAGCGTGGGTTTCCGGTTGACTGCAACGCCAATCCGACGCCCTGGGGCAGCCGCAACTGGCTTAGACGACATAGCAGCAGAGTCCTTTTCACGAACGGCCGCAGCAGTGTCTAAAATCTCCTTCATGAAGGAATTGGAGGAATTACGCAACACTTCCAAATGCTCATCGGGCACAGTGTCACGGTTCTTTTCAATAAACCCATCAGATTCATAAGTGACGTCGACTGCATAGTGACAGACGGTGAATGCAGACTTTCCGAAGCGAGGTTTCTTGTAGAACTTTTGCTTGTCAGCCGCAAAGTGGTGGTGAAGCTTTGTTACAAACTGCTCATCCGAACCCATGGGAAGTCGGGATTCCTCGTCCAAAAGGGCCAGTACGCCAAGCTTCGATTCGATAAGATCAATACAAGGTTGATTATCCGAAAAATCAATGAATGTCCAGTCAATCTTTTCTCGAACATATTCTTCCTGCTCAAGCTTGAACACATGCTGGTTGAATTCTTGTTGTAACTTCTCGTTGGCATAATTGATGCAGAACTGTTCGAAAGAATTTTTGGCGAAATGTTCAAACCCGTAAATATCGAGAACACCAATAAAGCATTTGAACTGCTCAAGCACTTCATCAGTAGCAAGGCGGCGGTTGATCTTGTCCACAAGCCAATCAAATAGACTTGAATAGATAAACTTGGCGACGGAGTCTCGGACAACCAGAGCCTGTTGCTGTGTCAGGTTGGAGGTAATTTTCTCGCCACGCGTGATAAGTTGCTTCTTCACGATCCATTTCGCAAACTCGGTGGCATCAATTCCAAGCAGCTCACACGCGCGGACAAGTGCAGGCTCAGTCGACGAGACTGACGAATCCGTCCGAGTAGCTGTGATCTTGACATTTCCGAGGTGTAGCAAACCGGCGAGAACGCGGAAGATTCCTGACTGGTCTTCCTCCGGCACACCAATCACAGCCAGCGACTTCCTGGTCGCGTCAAATTCAGCCTTGTCATCGACACCGTCGATCACTGGAGTGGCACCCTGATTCAGGTACTCGAATTCTTCAATAGGCAAGAGACCCAGCTCCTGTTTCTCTGCATCGGAAGCACCGGCTACCAGTTGGTAGAAGATGTGGTAATTGCGCTCTTTGAGAGGCTGGAAGACAAGTCTCGACCGCTCAAGAAGATACGTCCTGATCTTAGCTCCGATGATATTCGTTCGGTCATCAAACATGATTTCGATATATTTGCCGAAACGGGAGGAGTTGTCGTTACGAGTGGTTTTCGCGTTACCGAACGCTTCCATGACCGGGTTGGTAGCTAGAATCTGCTCCTCGGTTTCACTGATTGCCTCTGCGCGGCTGCTTGTGTATTTTCCAGGTTGATCGGAAGACTCGCGAGTCGCAAAGTAGCGCATAATATATTTGGCGCTCACGGTCTTGCCGGCTCCAGATTCACCAGAGACGACAATCGTCTGATTCTTTCCATCGCGAAGCATGTCACTGTATCAAAGGTGTGAGCGAAACTAACCCCAAAAAGGCAAAAGGCGGACGATTCTTACGCGAAAGCTTCCTCCGCAATTGCGAACAGATGAGGCGCCTGCGAGGCACGATGTTTGCCAGCATAAACCTGCACCATCTGCGGCACGTACAGTGAGTCGAGTCGGGCAAATGGGTTAGTTGCAATCAAGACGATACCACTGTAGGTATATATCTCCTTCTGGGCGTAGCGGAGTTTTATAGCCTGGAGGACTTTGAACGACCGTCAGCTGGGAGGGCGGCACTAAACACGTAGAGGCAAGACAAACCAGCGGGCTCGTTCAAGTGAGACAAATTCGTCAAATCTTCGCTTGCTTCAAGCATAGCAGGGTTCATGAGCGGAGGTAATTTGGGGTTGTTATCGACCTGCAGCTCGGACTGCGTGGTCTGCACGGTTTTTCTCTGCCCCGATCAAAAACAGTGTCAGTCGGCCCACCCCATTAATTTAGGAGACGTCCAGCATCCAGCGTTCCAAATCACCTACCTCTCCATTTTCCAACTCGAAAATTAGCTGCACTTTCTCTCCATCCTCCAGCTTCTCCTTCACCTCGGATGCCAACCATCCTTCTGTCGGGTCGGGCTGCCAGGCCCGTGTGCCGACCTCATAGGTGTGCGCCATAGGGAATTTAGGTCGTTAAATCGTTTTTGATACAATAAAAAGCGGGATAATTGCAGAAGCTCCGGGATTGATGGGTGTTTTCGGAGGTAGGGCATCGAAGGGGAAAGGTAATTCAGGTAGTCCAAAGACAAGGGGGATTCATCAACCCCTCATCTCATATTTTGAAAGAAAAGAATAAAAAGATTGAAGATAAGAAATAGATGGAGGTGGAAAGAAAACCCTTGAATGAGATTAACAGTTGGCCGTTTAGCGAGAGCCCCTGAAGGAGCTTAGGGAAATATACTGGGGGGGCGCCACACCCCACAGCCTGTCACCGCCATCCCATGTACACTTGGTCTGCGTTGTGTATTGTTTACTTTGTATTTATTCCGTTTCTTATAATTTAATTCAGCACTCATGAAAATCAACCCAAAATTGTTTTGCTTCATCAGAAATCTATTTAATACATCAATGTAGGCAGTAGGGATTGTTTCTGGTATTACTTCCCTGATTGTTCGAATAGTTGTCAAAGTATCATACTTGTACATAGATACCAAAATAGTCACAAACCCGTACCCTACCCACATGTTACAAAAGACAGCTCAAGTGTCTCAGCCATGAGTGCAAGTCCTTACAGCGTGGGACGCGAGAGAAATGCACACCGATTATGTCAAATATTGATTGAGTATTAGAAGATAGAGAGGTCACGCAGGAGGGGAGGCACAAAAAGGCAGAAAGCAAAGCAAAATATCAGAGAGTACGAATAGTCTCATGTTGGGCATCCACCACCGGCAACTTTTTTTCGTTCAGTTTTGCTTGCACTCGGCGGCCTCCTTCTTGGGCTTGGAAGTACCATCCTGGAAGGAAGTTAGCAAGTTGATCTGAATAGGTGAGTGTCGTATGTCATACCTCTTCGTCTGTGTCCTCCTCATCCACATCACGGTCCGAGCCGAGATCTTCCTCGTCATCATCCTCATCCTCATCATCCTCATCATCCTCAAACTCATCACCATCAAAGTCCTCACCGACCTCCTCAAACTGGAGGGCTTCACCGGTGAACCAGTCAATAGCACGGGGAATGAGTTTCTCCTTGATATCCTCACCAAGCTGGTAATCAAGCTCCAAACGCTCTTCAATGTCGCTGGCGACTGACTCGTCATCCGCAGCTGGTGGCTGTGGGGGTGAGAAGAAGTTGAAGAAGGACTCGGTAGGCACACTGATCTTAACAACGCGGGTCTGCTTGGTGTCTAAAAGAGGTTCAGTTGTCGGTTTCAACGTAGCATTCCAATATTTGAGTGCACTTACTCTTGTTACGCTGCTTCTTGCTCTCCAGACGGATGGTCAGGTCTTTGTCCTCCTTCCAGTCAATCTTAGATCCATCGGCGTGGTCGTAAATGAAATCGCCACCGTATCCACTCTCATCCTTGTAGAAGTATGACTTGGAGATGGTTTTGTTGGTGAAGAACTCGTTCTCAGAGAACTCGAAAATGAGGCGGAATCCGGGTCGGTCAAGGTACTCCATGCGAATGTCGGTGAGGTGCTTGAGAGCCTCCTCATCGCGATCGGTGATCATCTCAGCAAGCGAGATCTGGTTCTTCATGGCAGAAAGCCAGAACTCGGGAATGCCGTTGGTGGCCTCACCCTCCTCCTCCTTCTTGGGCTCCTCCTCGGTCTCCTCCTCATCACTCTCCTCGTCCTCCTTTCCAGCCTCTATCTCGGCCTCGGTTGGCTCAATATCGCCGTTGATGATGGTAGAACGACGCTGGTACAGGGGCGTGAACTTGCCAAAGTACTTCTTCTCAAGTTCCAGAACCTCCTCTTGGAACTGAGCCTCGAGCTTAGAGTGCTCCTTCTGAATACCCTTGAGACCAGCGACGCGGCGGCGGACGGAGGGGTGGAGAGATTCAATGTAGCCTGATGAGCGGCCGACAAGTTGGCCCAACTTGCCTTGGATCATGGAGACCAGAGCAGGGTTGCGGGCGAAAAGCGAGGCAGCAGTAGCTTTATCAAGGGATTCTAGGGGAAAAGGAAACCACGGTCAAAGAGATGCCGGTGAAGACACGAAAAGAGACGACTTACCCTCTTCGATGCTGGATACACCAGGCTGCTGAGCATGAGACGAGATGGGAGCATTGTTGGCTGGCGTGTTTTGCGGGGTCCTTCTGCAAGTCAGTATATTTTTTTTTTTGCTTTTGACAAGTGAAAAAAATTTAGAATATGGTTCCTTACGGTGCGACCAGGAAGTCCGCCTTCTTGTTTCTGATGGGTTCAGACATGATGAATGGATAGTGAAAGGGGGCTGGGGAATAGAATGAGGTGAGGATAGAAAAAGAAGGAAGAATTTGATACGCCGTTTAGTTTTGGGGGGAGAGAGTCTGGAAGTTGGTGGGATCCTTAGCGCCCTGTGGCCGAGGGGCTTGGCGGGATTGTTCTGGTTGAGCCTGCAAAGGCTGCAAATTCTCCCAACAATACCTTTTTGATACAACTTTGTGGATTTGGTCTTTCCAATTTTGACCTCTGTTCATTTTCTGTTTCTTTGTTTTTAACATGATGTTGTTGATATCTTCATGTCTTGCTTCTTATTATCGTTTTCGATCTGATCACTCCCGGTGGCGCGCTCCCTAGACTATTACCCCTCCCTCCAATTTCAATACGTTATGGAGCTGAGAATTTAATCCTACAAGACTCTGATGCTTGGTTCTATTTTTTTCTTTTGGTCTAAGTGGTTTTTTTAATAGTGCTTAGATAGGAAATGGGTGGATGTAGAATGAGATTCGCCACGTCGGGCAGAAGGGAATGTATATTTATAGAACCAGGTTTTTCACACCCGTGGACGTTTTGCTTGTTTTGCATAAGCTGCAGGACACCTGAAAGACGTTCAAGATTTAGCTAGGGTGACGTATGAAGTACATTCTCGGATGCAAGTAGTCGATCGTCGACGAATAGATAGAAAAAGTCGTCTGCACAAAGCATGGTTTTAATCGTCTACATTCTAACGACTTATCAGGGGAAATATCTAGAAAAAACCGTCTGAGAAGGAACTTGAAAACGACCACTAAAAAAGACGCCACACGGCCAAATGAGCGGCCGACTTTGTCTTTTTTGGATCTCTAAATAGTCTTTTGGTTAAAATTTGCAAGAGATTGAGAGCCTTCAAGGCCCTTGAGTCGCGCGATGTAGATCTTCCGGTAACCATCTCTGATCGAAACCCCGTAGATGATTAAGTGACCAATGAGATGTCTGTTAAAACCAAGCAATAAGATGCCAAGACACTTCCAGTCTTCTAGATTACTGTGGAACCCTGTTAGTATATACATAATGGCATATAGAAGTCACTATTGCATACAATTTCACATGGATTCTCTTGCATGGGGATTTCCAAGTTTGGTCCGACATCATTATATAATCCAATGCTAGGTCGGAGAGTCACATGGAGATAAGTCGCTCTCCGCTGTGGGACACTGATAAGCTCCAGATCGCACACCCTGCTTTTGTGGGAACTTGCGCTCCGCGATAAATGCTCTCCTTCGGTCCTGTGTCGGTATAACACAACTTTACTAAAGCCCCATAACACGATTATTAGAGAGGCTGTTGGGGAATCGGCCGAGCTGAACCTATTTCTCTCTAAACATGGGAAGCCGTCCGCAGTCTCCCTCGGGGACCGGTCCCGTGGACCTCTCCATGCCTCGACATGGACTGCGACGCGATTCCATGCGAAGCAGGTTGCTGCTCCCTTCATATTTACCTCGGATATTGGATCCATGCTGACAATTCTCTAGCATGAGTGTCATATCGGACGTGGAGATGGCCCGTAATGAGGTATGTCAAATCTCTATTCTCATTTCTAGGCCTCAGCGCAGGAGCTGACTCGCACTAGGTCTTCGATGGCCCAATCTCGGAAAGCATTCCATCCAGCGTTGTCTCGTTTGCGCACCGTCGGGATCGAGCAGGCTCTACGGTGAGCTTTACATACTTTCAGGACGGGGAAGACTTCGCAGAATGGTCGACCGAAGATGCAGTGGATGATCAAAGCGAAATTGATGCAGAATCTCTACATGGGATCGGGGATGCAGATCTCGAGTCATCCAGGGGATCTTTTGTGTCGAAGCGGATGTCGACCTCTCGCGACTCGGTTGAACATCCACTTCTTTCTCGCTACATATCCGCCAGCTCGTACGGCCGAGACCGACGAACCGGCAGTCGTTTGAATCAAAAGGTCTATATTGCGTCGGAGGATTTGACAGCTGTCTTTGCTGGATTTTCCACGAGTCCGGGAGGGTTTGCTGTCTACGCTGCCCTTTGCATCTTGACCGGTGGATTTGCCTGGCTTCTCTTCCGATGGCTGCCACGATGGCGGGTAAAGTTGATTGGGAAGGCAACCCCGATAGGGAAATGTCAATGGGTGGCTATAGAGGTGCGATTGTGAATTTTCAATCCCATTCAATAACCGTCTGACCCATGACAGGACCAATGGAATCAATTCACCATCCATGAAGTTGGCAGCCAACCTTATGGACGCCCACTTTCCACGGTCTTCGCTGACTCACTAAATCACACCTACAATGAAGATAACGACCCGACCATTGCCTCTCTACACTTTATCGACTATCGATATTTGAAGTTCTTTTATCATCCAATCGAGGACAAGTTTTCTATGATAAATGGCTGGAAAGATCCCTCGTGGGCCAATGCCAAGATCATGCGAAGTGGATTGGATGCCGACGAACGAGATAGTAGGGAACAGATATTTGGAAGTAACGCTATCGAAATTGACCAAAAGACAATTCCTCAGCTTCTCGTCGACGAGGTCAGTTTTCCTTCTGGTTGCTTCATCAAAATTTCTGACATTTTATAGGCTTTTCATCCCTTTTATATCTTCCAAATCGCAAGTCTAGTTTTGTGGTCCATGGATGAGTACTACTACTACGCCGTTTGCATCTTTCTTATATCGTTTTTCAGCATTGCAACAACCGTGTTAGAGACAAAATCAGTGCGTTCAGCCCGAGAAGTAGATCAATCACCCGAAACTAACGCTACGACAGACAATGAGTCGACTCAGGGAGATATCTCTCTTCGAGTGTGATGTTCGCGTTTTAAGAAATGGATTCTGTAGGTTCTATTCGATGTGTCATCTTCCTGTTTAATGCAAACTGATCGTATCCACAGGGCGGTCCGTTTCTTCCCAAGAGCTGGTTCCTGGTGATGTATATGAATTCTCCGACCCATCGCTCAACCAGGTTCCGTGTGACTGCATCTTGTTGTCAGGGGACTGCATTGTGAATGAGAGCATGCTCACTGGTTCGTACAAACCTTGATATCGATATACACATCTAACTCGAACAGGTGAATCCGTCCCCGTGTCTAAAATACCACTCACCGATGAAGGCCTCAAGTTTCTGGATCTCAGTACCCCTTCTATCCACCCTCATATTGCAAAACACTTCCTTTTCTGCGGAACTAAAGTAATTCGAGCTAGACGACCCCAGAATGTTGATGACGATGAAGCAGTAGCATTGGCAATTGTCATGAGAACTGGATTTTTGACAACTAAGGGGGCTCTAGTTCGATCGATGCTTTTCCCAAAGCCTTCTGGATTCAAATTCTACCGAGATTCGTTCCGCTATATCGCCGTGATGGGGGTGGTTGCTCTTCTCGGATTTGTTGCTTCATTCATTAACTTTGTTCGATTGGGTGTAAGTCAATACTTGAGCAGACGATTTTCGCAGGGTTGGTTCAGCCGCTGATTTCGGAAACACAGCTCGCTTGGCATTTGATCATAATTCGAGCCCTCGATCTGATCACGATCGTTGTACCGCCAGCTCTCTCTGCCACACTTACCATCGGCACCAATTTTGCGCTTTCACGACTGAAAAAACAGAACATTTTCTGTATCAGCCCACAGAAGTGAGTGGCCGAAGTTGAATAATATCTTGACCTCAACAATAACACATGGGACTAGGGTCAACGTGGGAGGAAAACTGGATATTGTTTGTTTCGATAAAACCGGAACTCTCACAGAAGATGGTTTAGATGTGCTAGGAGCGCGTATAGTTACCCGTGACAAAAGGTTTGTCTGTTTCAAAATTCGATGCTCAAGCTAGCGCTGAAGAGGAGTTTCTAGGTTTTCAGAGCTACTCTCTGAGACGTCTGACGGCTTTCTTCGTCCTTCCCCAAATGCTAACTCCGCATACGACATCGAAAAGCAACGCAAAATCATGCACGCCATGGCTACATGTCATTCCCTCAGGGTAGTAGATAATGAGCTTTTGGGAGATCCTCTCGATGTTAAGATGTTCCAATTTACCAAGTGGACGTTTGAGGAGGGAGGAAATCATGTTTCGGACCAGACAAACCCCAAATACGACACGATAGCGCCATCTGTTGCAAAGCCCCCTCAACGTCAGACCGGCGACGAACAAGATGCAATTGTGAGTTGATTTGATTCAAGCAACCACAGCTTCATATCTAACTATATCCAGAACCCCCTCGAGCTTGGAGTACTGCGGAGTTTCGAATTTGTTTCCAACCTTCGCCGCGCAAGTGTCGTCGTCAGAAAGTTTGGCGACAATGGAGCAAGTTTATTTGTCAAGGGTGCCCCAGAAAGTATTAAGGACATTTGCATTCCTGGAACACGTCAGTGATCTCTCTCCCCTTTTCTCTACATAAGCATGCGTTGCTGATAAATCCTTCTGTAGTTCCTTCGGATTATGAAGATCTCCTGAATTACTACACTCACAAAGGATACCGTGTGATTGCCTGCGCTTCCAAGTACGAACGGAAGTTGAGCTGGATGAAAGTCCAAAAAATGTCGCGGATGGACGCCGAGTCTAACCTAGAATTCCTGGGCTTCATCATTTTCGAGAATAAGTTGAAACCCAGTACTGCCGGTGTGATTTCCGAGTTGAACGAGGCGGGGATTCGCAATGTAATGTGCACCGGTGACAATATTTTGACTGCCATCAGTGTTGCTCGTGAATGCAACATGCTTGGACGTGATGAACCATGTTTTATCCCGCACTTTGTTGAAGGTTGGTTTACCGCATCCAGGCAATGATGCAATACTAACGATACACAGCGCCTGGTTTTTCATCCAAAGATTCTCTCAAATGGGAATGCGTGGACAACTCTGACCTCCAGTTGGACCCAAGAACACTCTTGGTAAGACATCTTTCCCCCCACTATCAAATTACTCGCAGCTAATGCAACTGCAGCCCATAAACACCGCGGAGACCGACTTGTCAATTCCAGGAAACTTTCTCATTGAGCGTGAATATTCTGTCGCTGTCACAGGTGATGCATTTAGGTGGCTGGTTGACTTCGGGAATGAAGATGTACTCAACAAGGTAAGCGGTTGTGGTGCTGACCATTTCCTTTTTCACCATGTCTGGAACTTAACGTGTTCTGTATAGGTACTTGTATGCGGCAAAGTGTTTGCCCGGATGTCCCCAGACGAGAAGCACGAATTGGTTGAGAAACTTCAGTCTATTGATTATTGCTGTGGCTTTTGCGGCGACGGTGCCAATGATTGTGGCGCTCTGAAAGCTGCAGATGTTGGTATCTCATTGTCGGACGCCGAGGCGTCCGTTGCTGCGCCCTTTACTAGCCGCCTATTCGAAATCTCCTGTGTTCCGACGGTGATTAGGGAGGGTCGGGCTGCTCTGGTGACAAGCTTCTCCTGCTTCAAGTTCATGAGTCTTTATTCCGCCATTCAGTTCTGCTCGGTTAGCTTCCTGTATACGTCGGGGTCAAATCTTGGTGATTTCCAGGTAAGTATGCCACAACACCAACGGGTTTGATAGATCGCTAACTGTTTTAAGTTCCTTTTTATCGACCTTGTGCTCATTATGCCCATTGCAGTCTTCAGTGCGTGATCTACCTCTTTTAAATTCGTCTCACTGAGCTAACTTCCTTCTAGTGGGCTGGGCCGATCCTTCCCCAACACTGTCTCGTAAACGACCAACCGCTGACCTCGTCTCACGCAAGGTATTGACACCTTTGCTCGGGCAGATCTTGCTGGTTGTGCTGTCACAGTTTGCAGTCTTTGAGACCGTTCAATTACAGCCCTGGTCAGTAACCGTCACAATATCATCGAAACAATTCTAACAAACGATGCAGGTTCTTGCCGCCACAACTGGACCTTGAAAAGAGCAACATTGTCAACTCGGAGAATACGGCTTTGTTCTTGTTCTCCTGTTTCCAGTACATCTTCATCAGTGTTGTTCTGAGCGCGGGTCCGCCATTCCGGAAACCAATGACTCAGAATGGTAAGATTTGCACCACTCAAATCGCTTTCTTGCTCATCTAGGTGCTGACGGAGGCTGTATAGTGCCGTATTTGTGTGCAATCATCGTTAACATTCTGATCTCGGGCTACATGCTCTTCAGACCATCCGACTGGGTGTCAGAGGTGATGCAACTGACTTTCATGTCCGATGTTTTCAAACTCTGGTTACTCGCGCTGGCATTTGGGATCTTCGTTCTGTCCTGGACAGCAGAGAAGAACATATTCATACGCGTGGCACAGATTCTTGGACATGCTCGTGCCCGCTTGCAGCCACACTATCGCAAGAAGCGCAGGATGTACAAAGTGTTGCTGGAGGCATTGCGCCTGTGAAGTACGCTCACAAATCACCCACGCTGTACGTTATCAAATACATATAGACTTGTAGAGGGTCAAAGTCTTTGGACATGATGACCTGGCCATTCATCTGGTGAAGCTCTGCCTCGGCCACTCGGGCCACAGAATGACCGTTTCAAAAAATTGAAAAAGAAAGGGTATGATACAATTCGGCTGGTAAATGGCTATCGTGAACCTAACACTTGTGGCTTTTGACATGCGCTCGGCAACACCCGGCTCTCTCTTCCTCTCTTCCCACTCCAAGTACATAGCACGCAATGCGGCCCAAACATCACCGCTGCCCTGAGAGACGAAGCGGCTGCGCAAGAAAAACGAAATTGACGATTGTGATCGGATCAGTGGTCCCAAGGGTGCTTCCAGCCCAACAGAGCGGCACCATCCTTCTTGGCGCGGTACATGAGCTACCCAGAAGAGTACTGTCAGTATAAGTTCATCGTATAAAAAGGCAACAATCCTTACGAAGAACCACATGCTAGCGCCCAAAGCAGTCGCAGTGAAACGGTAGAGCGGCCGAACCGGGTGAATGTGGATAGGGTGGGAGGAATTGCCCGCCATGACTGTACAGATTGGAAAGCAATTAGTTTCCACGGAATTTTTGGAAGCAGAGGAAGTTACGGGTAAGACTTACTGTGTGCTGGAAAAGGCTGTTGTTGGATCACAGAACGCCAATCTTGAATCGGATCTGAAGACGGAGGGTTCTGCTGTTCAACGGAGACGGAGAGGTCGATCTCACGTGACCCGTGACGGCACTCGAATTCCACCGCAGTGCAGTGTTTGGATTGTTCGGCAGAGCAATCAGAAGAACAATCATTTGACTTCTTTTTGGAGAGTCGTCTGACTCTTATTTCACTTGTGCCTTGACTGGGCTGGTTCCTACTCAGGTTTATATTGAACCTATTGCATGGCCGACTCCGTACACACGGCCTTGAACAATGCGAAATCGTCGCACATGCTTTTTACTATGATATGGACTTGCCTTCTGACACTTTTGACACATTTGGCTCTCCCCACGAAGATACCCGCTAATTAATCTTGAAAAATTTCCACAACCCTCTGTCTCCGAAGACTTCGCGAACCACCTCCGTGTATCTTGACGCAGCATCAACCCAAAGCGTACCAAACACTTTGACTGCAGTTGACATTTTATTTCGGTCTAATAGCCAGCTAGGACAACCGGCTTTCCTCCTTTCCCCAGAGCAGTGGACCAGCACAGGCGACGAGTCAACATGGAGATAAAATCGCTGGAAAAGGACGAGAATGGCCAGGCCCGTTTCCCTGGATGTTCGAACATCCGTGAATATGAATTTCTCGACAAGCTTGGAGAAGGAACATTCGGGTAAGTTCGGTAGAAGTATCACTGAAAGAAACCGACTTACTGGTCAATAGCGAGGTCTACAAAGCAAGGTCCAAGAAGGACACCAAAATTGTGGCTTTAAAAAAGATCCTAATGCACCACGAGAAAGAAGGCGTAAGTCCACGGGCGAGTTGGTTTTTGTCATAAACTGATTTTTGGTGCTATGCTAGTTCCCCATTACCGCCATCCGAGAGATCAAACTCATGAAGGCGCTTTCCCACCCAAACATTCTGCAGCTCAAGGAGATGTCCATTGAGCGAGGCAAAGGCGAAGGACGGAAAAAGCCAAGCATGTACATGGTCTTTCCGTACATGGAACATGACTTGTCAGGACTCCTGGAAAACCCGGCAGTTCAATTCACTGAACCACAGATCAAATGCTACTTGATGCAACTCCTTGAAGGGCTTAAATTCATGCATGCAGTACGATTGTCTTGAAACACCTATTCCTGCAATGCTTGTCTAACAAAACTTCGCAGAACCGCATCTTACATCGTGATATGAAGGGTTAGTGTTGAATCCTGATGTGCCATTGATCTAAGCTTACAACATAATAGCAGCGAACCTGCTAATTAGCAATGGAGGAATTCTTCAAATCGCCGATTTTGGTCTTGCTCGGCCTTATGATGATGCCCCTCCACTCCCCGGGAAAGGAGGAGGAGATTCCAAAAGAGAATACACTGCACTTGTTGTCACGAGATGGTACCGTCCTCCAGAGTTGTTGCTACAGCTACGGAAATACACCACAGCCATCGACTTGTGGGGAGTTGGGTGAGTTTTCCATGCCTGTTAGTCGGATTACCATCTTCTAATGTCCTCAAGCTGTGTTTTTGGCGAGATGTTCAAGGGCAAGCCCATTCTCGCTGGAAAAAGCGATCTTAACCAAGCAGAACTGATATTCAATCTTGTGGGCACTCCCACTGAGGAGAATATGCCCGGATGGAGTCAACTCCCGGGTTGTGAGGGTGTGAAAAACTTCGCCTTCAAACGCGGGAACCTCCATACATTCTTCAAGGAGTGAGTTTACCCCCCTTCCCCCACAGAGAGGACTTGGGCCCCTAATTTGGTATGCAACAGTTTAAACCCAGTCGCTATTTCTTTATTAAGTGAGTTCCTCCGACTAGACTGGAGAAAAAGAATCAACGCCATGGATGCATTGAAGCACCCTTATTTCACCACCCACCCCCTTCCAGCACGACCCGGCGAAATCCCCCAATTCGCAGATTCCCACGAACTCGACCGCAAGAAGTTCCGCAGTCAGCGGGTCCCAATGCCCCCAGTCCCCCCACCCGCCTCCGACACAAGCAATGGTGGTTGGCCAACCTCTGGTTCTCGCGGACCAGATTCCCGACACAGCCGCGTCCCCGGCGTCGCTCGTGGAGGCAGACCAAATGCACCAGGCACCCAAGGAGGTCATGGACACCACGCAATTCACGGAAACCCGCAACGCCGCGGGCCTTTCCCATCTACACAAAGAGATACCGGATTACCGCCGCGTCCTCCCGTACCGACCAACCCGCCATGGGATGGATCGCAATCCAACAGAACTGACGGGAGAGATGATCGTCGGGATCAATTCGGACAAGGTCGCCCGGCACCGAGATCAGGGAACCTCGACTCTTACGTTCCAAATTACAGCAGCAATGACCGCGGTAGTGAGCGCGGCAATGACCGCTCGCGAGACTCTGGTGAGCATGGCCCACATTCAAATGCAGATTGGCGCTCAACAAGTCGACGTGATTACCGCCGGGATCCTCCATCAAGAAGAAGGAGCCGGAGTCCCAGTTTCAGAGACAGCAGTCGAGGTTAGGGTTATGGTATCCAGCGATGTTTTCCCTTAATGCATTTTACTTGGCCAGTCAATCCATCTGGATGACAGATGGCAGATGAAAAATGGAAACATTCATGGTCATAGCTTTTCTCTAGTCCATGGTGCATCGTATTCACAAAACATACACTCAACCGCATTTACATCAGTCATATCCAACTCAATATACTCGCAAGTTGGCAATTGCAATCTTATAATCCCCTAGGACCTCGTTGAGAGTGTCCCATTGCAATTGAGATTAAGCCGGATGAGGGCTCATCGATTTTTTTTATTGGTTGAAGCATCACAGCCCGGTGGCAAGCTTGTTTTGGGATCGGTTATTTAGTACAGTACGCGGGTCATGATGCGAGCTGGAGTGGTGTTAGTTTGGTTCATGCGAAAGAGAAGGAAGGGATAGAATCTCACAAGGAAGGCTCTCGAGTCTGGTATACAAATCCCTGATGGTGGCAGCATCCACATTGCTGATATCGGCCATCAGGTAGGCAACCTATTTACAGTTAGTTTCTGCTATCTTTTTCTCTTGTTTGAAAAAGAAAAGAAAAAGAAGAAAAAGAAGAAAAAGAAGAAAAAGAAGAAAAAGAAGAAAAAAGAAGAAAAAAGAAGAAAAAGAAGAAAAAGAAGAAAAAAAAGAAAAAGAAGAAAAAAAGAAAAAAAAAACAATACATCGCCTCTGCTGTCGGTCATCTGCTTGTCGACGTTGTGGTCACCAATAATCTCGTTAACTGTGGCATTGTTGGTTAATGTGTCGCTTAATTTGGATCGATTGTACTCTACCTTTTCTCAACACCCCAGGAATGTTCTTGTGGATGTAAATCACCTAGGAAAAATCAGTATCATTACAAAACATGATGACTGCACGAGAGAACTTACACGAGCGTGGTCAGACTCATCCATTGTCAAGGAGCGGAGAACAACCTCGGGCAAGTTGACAGCACCCAGGGTCGAGCCCTCGTTAGCATATCGGACCAGAGCCTGGGCAACTTCGACACCAATAGCCTTCTGAGCCTCTTCGGTACTTCCTCCAATGTGAGGGGTAATGATGAGGTTTTTGAGCGAGCGCAGGTCAGCTGCGAAGCCGTTGAGATCGGTGTTGAAGTAGTCACCGTTTCCAGCGGGCTCATTGGGGTAGACATCTAGGGCGGCACCAGCAACCTTACCGCTGCGCATGGCGTCAATCAGGGCGGGAATATTTACAACGGTTCCACGGCTGGCGTTGATCAGGTAGCTTCCCTTCTTCATCTTCTCGAACTGCTTCTGTCCAATCATGCCCTTGGTCTCGGCAACCTCGGGAACGTGGCAGGTAATGAAGTCGGCTTCGGCCAAGAGATCATCCAAAGTCTTCACCTGGCGAGCGGTACCCAGTGACATAATGTTGAGCACGTCGTAGTAGATGACGGACATACCCATTGCCTCGGCCAATACGGACAGCTGGGCACCAATGTGGCCGTATCCAATGATACCTGAGAGGTCAGTACAAAGTTCCCAGAAACCACAGAATGACATCACATACCGAGAGTCTTTCCACGAATCTCCCAGCAGCCGTTGCTCACTTTGTTCCAGGTACCAGCGTGCATCTCGCTGGAGCGATCGCCCAATTGACGGGCCAGCATGACCATCTCACCAATGACCAACTCGGCAACACTGCGAGAGTTGCTGAAGGGGGAGTTGAAGACCGCGATACCCTGATCAGCGGCATATTGAAGGTCGACCTGGTTGGTACCGATACAGAAGCAACCGATAACGATAAGGTTCTTTGCCTCCTTCAAGACTCGTGCGGTGAGCTTCGTCTTGGAGCGAATACCGATGACGTGGACATCCCTGTAAAACCATCCAATCTATTAGCTGTGTGATTCACTGAGAGGGAATTTAGATTGGACCCCACCGAATCTTCTCAATAAGCTGATCTTCTGGGAGGGAAGACTTCAGGAATTCCACCTGGTAGCCCTGCTGGGAAAGGATTTCACGACCGGTCTGGTTGACATTCTCGAGGAGCAGGACCTTGATATCTTCTGTGGCAAATGGCTTCAAGGGCTTCGCATTGACTGGAACTGTGCGGTTCAGCACAGAGCTGTGGCTGGACAGGGAATTGAAGGAGGCGCTGGGGGAGGTAGCGAGGAGGGCTGCGTCGTCCTGACGAGGACGGATATCTCTTGCGATTGACATGATTGAATTGGTGTGTAGATGATTGAATCAAGTTTGAGCAGAAACAGTCAGGGATTATATGGATGAGTAGGTGGTCCACATGTATGACTCTTAGTAGATATTAAGTAATCCTCAAACGGCCTCCGGAATCGGAATCGGAAATTCTGGTTTCGGGATTTGCACTTACTACATTTGCACTTACACAGTACATACCCAGTATGCATATTTAGATATTCTAGTTAGTGATTGACCCTATTGAGCCCTCTAGTCGAATCGATCTTGAGATCTAGCACTCTACACAGGTGTTCTATGTGTTTTTATGGAGGGGCAATCGCGGGGCACAGACATTTCTTTTCTTTCTTTTTTTTCTTTTTTTTTGGAAAATCCCAAGTTTTGACCAATCACAAGTCCATCGGCTGTGCTTATCTACTTTAGGCAATATGGGCAGTTGCTTTGCCAAAGAATGGCGTGCTATAAACATGGCATCTGTAAATCATGAACTGAACTCTTGGAAATCAGTAAATTGTGTATCGGCTTGAAACTGAAGACCTTGCATTTATCTGGTGTTGTTTCTCTGATCACAGCTAGGACCTGACACCAAAAATTACTAGGCCAGAAACGGCTGTCTTGTCTGTTGTAGACGTCCAGCCCCTTGACCGCCCACTGCCCTATGGCTATTCTGCCCCGGGCACTGTTAGTCATCCTCCGGTTCTTAACCTTGGAACCATCGACTGTTGACGCTCGACTTCTGTTAGTTATTCCCCTTTTCCCTGGCGACCAAAACGTCTTCTCCTTCAGCTAAAGCCAAGGCTCCTTCACTATTCGCCCAGTTCAGCTAAGTGTCTAGAAGTGATTTCGGCTTTCCTCCGTTCCGGTGTCTTTGCACCTCGGCTCCAACTGATGAGCCCTAATGCTAGACCAACTCTATTCTTTCCGAGATTCGACCTAGACTAAAACATTTCCGTAGTCTTAGTTAGCTCCCTTCTGACCCAGCTGGGGCTCTTAGTACGTCAATTGGCGACTAGGCTGGCTAGATAACCTGATAGACTAGGAAATATTCCTGGATACCGCTGCAGTGCATATTCGGTGATCCTGTAGCTAGGACTTCAGACCACGGAAACTCGAATGTATGTATTAGTGAAAGCAAACCCCACACACCAACCCGCTAGAGTGGCTAGTTGAAGATTGACTCTAGACGAAGCATGCTTTCAGTCGGAAAATGGTATTAGCATGAGACTATTGAACAGAACATCCATGAAACCCATTCTGGGCGAATGTTAAGGCTTTTTGGAAGACCGGGACTCCCTTTCTTTCTTTCCCACCCCTGTCTCCCCTTCATTTCCAGACATCTCATCAATCATGAGCTGCTCATAATCTTTCTTCCAATCCTCATATGTGCGATACAAGTAAGCCTGGGCGTCCGGATGATTACGATAGTATGTCTCATGATTGATCTCACAGACACCGTCCTCATTCCCCTTATGGTCGACACAGAAAGCACGATTGCATAGAACACATAGCTGATTTGGGAGGTTGTCTTGAAGGTGTGGCTTCCTCAATCGCATTCTGTTATGGACATGGCAAAGTCCAACACCAAAAGGATGGTACTGGAGGGGTTGTTAACATACTGAATTAACACAAAGGTTCGCGCAAAGTGGAGAGACGGACCATTGTGTAATACTCGATGGGGATTATGTTTATGGTTATTGAGGGTAGGGTCGCGGAGGGGCGAGACATGGAAGATAAAGAATACTTCGGTCAACATAAGGAGAGGTTGCTTCTTGATATCAAGGGAGGAACGGTGGTGGCTGTTTGGGGTTGCTAGATTGGGTCGACTTGTGTTTGGGTACTATTGCATAGCCTGGATTGACACTCAGCGCGGGTTGCAGGTAGACCTTGGTATTGTACCAGCTCGTGAGGGATTCATTCTTCCTGACCGAGACACACAGGGCTCACTTTTGATTGACGGGCGATTTTCTGAAATTCCCCCAAAAAAAGGGTTCCACCATGACTGGTGTGATG